GCTGGTAATGTTCTAACAGCAAGAGTAGCATCTTCGGTAGCAGGAAGAGCCATATCCGGAGCCATAGCCACAGCCATAGCCAGAGCCGTAGCCGCAGCCATATCTGGATCCATAGCCAGAGCCGTAGCCACAGCCATAGCTGGATCCATAGCCACAGCCATAGCCGGAGCCATAGCCACAGCCATATCTGGAACCATAGCCACAGCCATAGCCAGAGCCATAGCCACAGCCATAGCCAGAGCCGTAGCCACAGCCATATCTGGAGCCATAGCCACAGCCATAGCCAGAACCGTAGCCACAGCCATATCTGGAGCCAAAACCACTGCCGTAGCCAGAGCCATAGCCACAGCAGCTACCACACGTGGAGGTTTTGCAGCACATAGTGTCTTGAGAGGGGGGTTCGGTACTAGTTCAGAGGAGAAGCAAGTAGAACTTTCTGAAGTCTGAATGTCCTCTCCTGCCCTGAGCCCTTTTATACTCTACCAGAAAAGGGTGGAGCACACGACACAGAGTCTGTGACCTCATTAGCCAGCAATTTTCATTTTTAAAAAGCTTATCATACTAAGAACAACAAATTTGTCCAGCAGTGTGCCCAGGATTTGGCCCTAGATAGTCAAGGGAATTCAAACAAAACAGATGGAACGCACACCTTGAGTGAGTATGTCTCGTGACGTGTAATGAAAGAAATGATACAAATGAAAATGAATCCACACAGATAAATGCAAAAGGGAATTAGATTAATGGGAAAACAAATATAGATGGAAATATTTGGTAATTTAGAAAAGGTATTTTGCCATTATAACATTTGGCTGCTGATAAAAATATAGCAGTTAAAAAAAAAAGAAATAGAAGGTACTGATAAAAATATATCAGTTACAAAGAAAAAATAGGAAGGGTTATGGAATGTATATATGGTGGATGAAAATTAATTAAGTTTAGGATATGTTCCAGTTGAAAGTAAGCAAGGTATAAAGACTTAAATGGGAGGAAATGTATGAATGAGACTAAAATTTGGATCGGCCTTATGAATGGGAGTCTACTACTTTGTAAGGTCTTTACCATTAGTGTCTTTTTCTCACCTGATATTACAGAACTCTAACATTTAGACGCTTTAGCAGAAAAGATATTTTCAGACTTAGTTTCAATCAGCAGCTATAAATGTATCATTCTCTCAGTTCCATGACAAGGGTTACTGCACAAAATGTGGCTGAGATCCCTGAAGCTAGGAGACCACATAAAATGGTTTGCTTGAAAAAAGATGTTTCTACTACGATAGTTAGCCCTAGATTGAAGTTATCCCCAAAGATTATTCGTCCAGCTGATAAGCTACTGCTTTCAGCATCAGGAAGCTTTTCTTAACACTGACTACTCTGGGTAATCCTGATTTTAGTTTTATAAACAGCTGAAGGTAATTCTAATAATTATATACTTTTGAAAATTGATTATTTCATTATGCTCTTTGTAATTCTGATAGAAGGAAATTTATGAAGCAGGTATAATTTATGCACTCATAAGAGTCTTAAACTTAATATGTCTTTAAAATTAAAAAAAGTGTTTTGATTCATTCCATCATAGAAATTTTGTGGCTTTCACAATTGAGTGAAATAAGAAAGTGTTAATAATGTTAAGCATGACAGAATGAAATCTCACAGAATGTGTGTGTGAATGTGTTTGTGTGTATGTGTATGTGCACACACACATGCTTATCATAAGTTTAGTGAAGCTTAGGGAAAAATAAGAGATTTTTTTCTTTACTTATATAAACCTAACTGGAGCAAAAGGATGCATGGCCACTGATAGGAGTACTTTGTGTGTGTTGTATTAAAATTCTTAAATTTTAAATTTTTTCCATAGGAAATATGAGATACTTTCAAAAAGCTTTTCTCCCCTTTATTAAACACCATGATTTACAAAGTTGTTTATAATACACTGACATTCCAGTAGAAGTACACTAAATTTGATGGGAAAGTAACCACCAACCAAGAAGTTTCTACTCAGCAAGGTCATTATTAAAGATCGAAAGAGGGATAAAACATTATCAGACAAATGGCAGCTGAGCACATTCATAACATCTAAACCAGCTCTGTCATAGATACTCAATGACCAGATACATGAAAGAAAGATCACACAGCATAAGCCATTGAACTCCTCATAGCCAGCACAGTAACCAATTCCTTCATTTTGATCATGTTTTTTAAAGTAATTTGACTGGAATTTCCAATAAATTTCCAATAAAATGTCATTACATGACTGGATATATTAGGAAACAAAATCTAATATTTTGCTAGTTACAGAAGACACAGTTAAACTTCCATATAAGTGTAGACTCACAGTGAAAGGATGAAAAACAATCATACAGACTAATGGAAAATTTTTTAAAAGCAGGGCAGCCATACTAGCATAAGACCAAACAGCACTTAAGCTAATGGAAAAGGTAAGAGAGAAGGGAAAAAATGATATTGGTGCTTCAGTTTGTGTTAATTAAAGCACAGTGCATCAATGATACGCCCCAGGATGAAAAATTTTCTTTCTGGTTGAATTGTCCAATGATGAGTGGAGTATTAAAGTCTCTGACTATTATTGTGCTCCCCTCAAGCTCTGTTTCTCTCCAAGCCCAGTCCCACTAACTATGGCTTATAGTCTCCTTACAATTTTTATTTTATCTTTTCACTTTCACTTCAAAGCTTTCTGTTCTCACCACTCACTGGTATGAATGTTCTCTGAGTCTATGCTATATGCAAATGTGCTCTCCAGGCTAAGGCAAACACTTTCTGTTACCAGAGGACAATTCATAGCTGAGGTTTTGTAAACAATAAAAATAGCAAGTTAGCACAACATCCATGTTATTTTAGTCCTGTAAACCAGGAGTCTAAGTTCAGCCCCACTGGGATCACTGTAAGGGTCTCAAAATATTGTGATTAAAATTTTATAAAATAAATGTGCAAAATCTTTTTAATATGTAACTACTTTCAGTTGCCAGATTTAGTGATCTTCCCTCCAAATTTTCAGGGCACATAGCTATGCTAAAAAGTTATTTTTCTTAGCTGACATTCAAATTGAGTTATCTTGTAATTTATCTGCCAGACCTAAGGATATAATAACTGGCCTCTCCTTCCAGTGTGAAACATGGATTTTTCCAGTTCTGTTTTTTTTTTTTTTTTTTGTTATCAGGCTGGTCACTTCCATAGACAGCCTTGAAATACAAATTTATATAGAAAATACTTTAGAACAGGGTGGAACTAAAATAGATTTTTTTCATTGACTAATTCAACCCTTCTTGAGTTTGTAGTCTCTCTCCTAATAAGCCCAGTTGTGAGCCATCCTGCCTGCATTTGGAAACACCCAGTGATGGAGTGTCTGATGGGACAGAATTCTATTACAAAGGTATCACATAGGAAAAAGCTGGTAGTTGAAAATCTGAGTTTTTCTCAGATCTTTCTCAGCTACATTCTCATTATCCTATTAATGTCTTTAGGAAAACAGAACACAGTAAAAGGCAGCTTTGCTGATTTTGCAATATGAGAGTTTCAGATCCGTATCTGCATAGGGCACTCTAAGTTCTGCACAATTCTAAGTGCTGAAGAAAATGAAATATGTGGCAATCACTACCATTTCCAGGTTTCTTCAACTTCTTTTCACTGCTGATGTACAATATCATGTAGCTTATAAGTTCCTTAATTCCTGGGGTTCAAACGTTCCCTTCTATCTTTTTTTTTTGCTTTTTTGGGTCACACCCAGTGATGTTCAGGGGTTGCTCCTGATTCTAAACTCAGGAACTACTGCTGGTGGTGCTCAGGGGACCATAGGGGTGCTGGGAATTGAACCCACGTCGGCCGCATGCAAGGCAAATGCCCTACCTGCGGTGCTATTGCTCCAGGCCCCCCCCCATCTATCTTTTATGCCAGCACTGAATTCCAAGAAAATCTAACGTTTTTCTTGTACATTTATATGCGCCAATATTCATTATTCTCTATAGTCTTTATCAATCCATTTTTTATCATCAGTAGTTTCTCTAAACAATATTTTTCTTGAGGTTTGCATGTATGCATCTAAGTGTGATGGGTTAATGAGAACATGAGTGATGACTATAGGGAAAAAAATAGACCTCAAGTCATGAGACTTAAATGTCTTAGAGAAAAAACGGAACTTTCAATAAGATTAAAATCCAAGACTTAGGAACAGGAAGTCCATCTTTCCTCAGGCACGAAGTTCAAGGCATTTAACTTTGGATAAATCACGAATACTGAGCAATGACAGCAGAAGCCAGATTGATGTCACTAGGATGATGAGATGAGCAGTATCAATCATCAATTTTTAGGAGGGTGCAAAAATCAAAAACAATGCTTGAGGTTTTTTTTTTTGTTTTTTTTTTTTTTAGTGAACCACCATGAGGTACAGTTACATACTTACAAACTTTTATGCTTGCATTTCAGTCATGCAGTGGTCGAGTACCCATCCCATGGCCAGTGCCCATTTTCCACCACCAATGATCCCCTCCCACCACCCTTACTCATCTGCCCCTCCCACCCTGCCTCTGTGCCAGGGCATTCCCTTTTGTTCTCTCTTTGCTTTTGGGTGTTGTAGTTTGCATTAGAGACATTGAGTGGCCATTGTGTTTGATCTATATTCCACATTTGAACAGTACTTGAGTTGTAGACAAATATAAGTCCACGGCATATCCAACAGAAAAGACGCACACATCAGTGAGGACCAAAGAAGCACGTTTATTGGGCAGAAATCACAAGGCAGAAGAACAGGATACAGGGGCCAGAAGTTGATACTTGGCTAATACTTGGACGGGGTCAAACTTAGGGCTTCTTCTTTCTAGGAACATCTTGGAGGAACTCCAGCTCCATCACAAGCCAACAGGACATTCAATATGACAACCAGCTTCCTGTAGGTCCCCAGAACTGTCTCTTCAATGGGAGAAGATGGAAGACTTGGACTCAGCAATGCGTGGGAAGGACCATTTTAGAAGAAAGGTGCACGCTGGTAATGTTCTAACAGCAAGAGTAGCATCTTCGGTAGCAGGAAGAGCCATATCCGGAGCCATAGCCACAGCCATAGCCGGAGCCATAGCCACAGCCATAGCCAGAGCCGTAACCGCAGCCATATCTGGATCCATAGCCAGAGCCGTAGCCACAGCCATAGCTGGATCCATAGCCACAGCCATAGCCGGAGCCATAGCCACAGCCATATCTGGAACCATAGCCACAGCCATAGCCAGAGCCATAGCCAGAGCCGTAGCCACAGCCATAGCCAGAACCGTAGCCACAGCCATATCTGGAGCCATAGCCACAGCCATAGCCAGAACCGTAGCCAGACCCATAGCCACAGCCATAGCCAGAACCGTAGCCACAGCCATATCTGGAGCCAAAACCACTGCCGTAGCCAGAGCCATAGCCACAGCAGCTACCACACGTGGAGGTTTTGCAGCACATAGTGTCTTGAGAGGGGGGTTCGGTACTAGTTCAGAGGAGAAGCAAGTAGAATTCTCAGAAGTCTGAATGTCCTCTCCTGCCCTGAGCCCTTTTATACTCTACCAGAAAAGGGTGGAGCACACGACACAGAGTCTGTGGCCTCATTAGTCAGCAATTTTCATTTTTAAAAAGCTTATCATACTAAGAACAACAAATTTGTCCAGCAGTGTGCCCAGGATTTGGCCCTAGATAGTCAAGGGAATTCAAACAAAACAGATGGAACGCACACCTTGAGTGAGTATGTCTCGTGACGTGCAATGAAACCTAATTTAGGATTTTACTCAAGAGGACATAAACTCCTTTGCACTTCCTGCTAGAGATTCATGGATCCTGAGAGTTCCCGCAGTGTCTCATATCTGAGCAGTGACAGGAAAGCACTCGGGTGCAAGGTCAGAGGCAAACGTAGGGACATAGAGAGAGAGAGGCATTCTCAGGTTATTCTTAGAAGAAATAGAGGCTTTCTTTCATGATGTGTTACCTCGCAGATTGAGATCATATTGAAAGACAGTTTTTCCAGTATGTGATGATGCAGATATCATGTTAAAAAACACTATATATTCTGAGCTAAGTGTAACATTATACAGCCTCAATCCTTTATATCTGTTTTTCTCAAGGACATGCGTTTTTTTTTTTAAATTTTTATTAGTGAGACACCATGAGGTATAGTTTTAGACTTACAAATTTTTGTGCTTGGGTTTCAATTATACAATGATCAAATACTCATCCTTCCACCAGTGCTGATTTCCCACCACCACGGATCCCAGTATCCCTCGCATCCCCCATTCCCCCCTATCCCACCCTGCCTCTGTGGCAGGGCATTCCCTTTTGTTCTCTCTCTCATATTGGGAGTTGTGGTTTGCAAAAGAGGCAATGGGTGGCAATCATGTTTGGTCTATAGTCTACTTTCAGCATGCTTCTCCCATCCTGGGAGGATCCTCCCAACACCCTTTATTTGGTGCTCCCTTCTCTATCTGAGCTGCCTTTCCCCCTAGCATGTGTGGCTGGCCTCCAGCCATGGAGTGAAATTCTTGGTACTAATCTTGGCCATTCTTGGGTGTTAGTCTCCTATTTTGTTACTTTATGTTCCCCAGATGAATGTAATCTTTCTATGTCTATCCCTTTCTTTCTGAGTCATTTTGCTTAACATGATACTTTCTATGTAGTACCACTTGTATGTAAATTTCATGACTTCAATGGCTAAAAGGCACATGAGAAAATGCTCCACATCATTAATCATCAGGGAGATGTAGATCAAAACCACAATGAGATATCATTTCACACCACAGAGACTGGCCCACATCTACAAGAACAAAAGCAACCAATGCTGGCGCGAATGTGGCGAGAAAGGGATCCTCCTTCACTGCTGGTGGGAATGCCGGCTGGTTCAGCTCTTTTGGAAAACAGTATGGACGATTCTCAAGAAATTAGAAATTGAGCTCCCATTTGACCCAGCAATACCACTCCTGGGAATATATCCCAGAGAGGCAAAAATGTATAGTTGAAGTGACATCTGCACTTGTTTGTTCATTGCAGCACTCTTTACAATATCCAGAATCTGGAAAAAACCTGAATGCTCCAGAACAGATGACTGGTTAAAGAAACTTTGGTACATTTACACAAAGGACATGCATTTTTTTTTCTTTTTGGGCGATGCTCAGGGGTTACTCCTGGCTCATGCACTCAGGAATTGCTCCTGGCGGTGCTCGGGGGACCATATGGGATGCTGGGAATCCAACCTGTGTCTGCCATGTTGGCAGCGTGCAAGGCAAACACCCTACCCGCTGTGCTATCGCACCAGCCCCAAGGACATGCATTTTTAAAAAAATGTTTTAAAATTAAAGCTACCAGTGATGTATTCGATATGCCAAACACAGTAACAGCAAAGTCTCCAATGGAGACGTTACTGGGCCCGTTCGAGCAAATTGATGAACAAGGGGAGGACAGTGATACAGTGATACAGTTTTAAAATTAAAAAGTTTAGAGTTTTCACTAAACAGGTGAATAAGGGCAGAGATGTGTTTATAATTGTGCATTGAGCTCTGTTGTTGTAGGAGATGACTGATTTGCCAATTCCTGTGATAGAAATACTCTTAAAAATTTGTTTCAAGAATCTATGCAGCATACAAAATTCCTAAGTCAAAATCATCTTTTTTGCTGTAGTAAATTAATTGTCACACTGAGAAACAATATGGATTTCAGTTTGTGAGGTTCTTGACATTCACACATACAGTATATTAGAATTATTGTAGGAAATGCTTAAGAAATTTCAATTTTTCCAGTAACCAACTTTTGTGATATTATAAAAACAAGTTTATTAATTGATTGCATAGTTAAACCTATTATTAGCCCGATATAAGCAGTATTTTATTATTTGATTTAATTATAATTATCTTAATTATTTTTATAAATATACATTATGTTGTTTTCACAAGGATAAAGTTTATGCAACAGATGAACAAAATCACTGTGTATCACCACCATGAATGTGCTCGTAACATTCCATCAGTATTCCATGTCACATGTAATGTGACCTCCAATCCTTTCCCCATTCTTCCTCCCATGTTTGTGGGTGTGTAAGAAATTCAGGCACATAAAATTTTGATTATGTAAGTTAGGAAGTTGCTTCAAAGAGAGGAACACACTGGAGAGTTCTGGAAACTTTAAATAAAGTGGATTACAATACATTGGGCAAAGAACATTTACATATTTTTTGTTTATTGCCTGTGATCCTTGATGACACGAAGATCATCTTGGCTTCCATGATTCTTAGCCATCTATCACTACAGTGATAATTCCACCTGGACTCCATTGAATTCTTATATAAGTAACCTGAAATGCCTCTCTCGCTATGTTTGCCTCTGACCTTGCACCCGAGTGCTTTCCTGTCACTGCTCAGATATGAGACACTGCGGGCACTCTCAGGATCCATGAATCTCTAGCAGGAAGTGCAAAGGAGTTTATGTCCTCTTGAGTAAAATCCTAAATTAGGTTTCATTGCACGTCACGAGACATACTCACTCAAGGTGTGCGTTCCATCTGTTTTGTTTGAATTCCCTTGACTATCTAGGGCCAAATCCTGGGCACACTGCTGGACAAATTTGTTGTTCTTAGTATGATAAGCTTTTTAAAAATGAAAATTGCTGGCTAATTGAGGCCACAGACTCTGTGTCGTGTGCTCCACCCTTTTCTGGTAGAGTATAAAAGGGCTCAGGGCAGGAGAGGACATTCAGACTTCTGAGAATTCTACTTGCTTCTCCTCTGAACTAGTACCGAACCCCCCTCTCAAGACACTATGTGCTGCAAAACCTCCACGTGTGGTAGCTGCTGTGGCTATGGCTCTGGCTACGGCAGTGGTTTTGGCTCCAGATATGGCTGTGGCTACGGTTCTGGCTATGGCTGTGGCTATGGCTCCAGATATGGCTGTGGCTACGGCTCTGGCTATGGCTGTGGCTACGGCTCTGGCTATGGCTCTGGCTATGGCTGTGGCTATGGTTCCAGATATGGCTGTGGCTATGGCTCCGGCTATGGCTGTGGCTATGGATCCAGCTATGGCTGTGGCTACGGCTCTGGCTATGGATCCAGATATGGCTGCGGCTACGGCTCTGGCTATGGCTGTGGCTATGGCTCCGGATATGGCTCTTCCTGCTACCGAAGATGCTACTCTTGCTGTTAGAACATTACCAGCGTGCACCTTTCTTCTAAAATGGTCCTTCCCACGCATTGCTGAGTCCAAGTCTTCCAACTTCTCCCATTGAAGAGACAGTTCTGGAGACCTACAGGAAGCTGGTTGTCATATTGAATGTCCTGTTGGCTTGTGATGGAGCTGGAGTTCCTCCAAGATGTTCCTAGAAAGAAGAAGCCCTAAGTTTGACCCCGTCCAAGTATTAGCCAAGTATCAACTTCTGACCCCTGTATCCTGTTCTTCTGCCTTGTGATTTCTGCCCAATAAACGTGCTTCTTTGGTCCTCACTGATGTGTGCGTCTTTTCTGTCGGATATGCCGTGGACTTATATTTGTCTACAACTCAAGTACTGTTCAAATGTGGAATATAGATCAAATACAATGGCCACTCAATGTCTCTAATGCAAACTACAACACCCAAAAGCAAAGAGAGAACAAAAGGGAATGCCCTGGCACAGAGGCAGGGTGGGAGGGGCAGATGGGTAAGGGTGGTGGGAGGGGATCATTGGTGGTGGAAAATGGGCACTGGCCGTGGGATGGGTACTCGACCACTGCATGACTGAAATGCAAGCATAAAAGTTTGTAAGTATGTAACTGTACCTCATGGTGGTTCACTAAAGAAAAGAAAAAAAACCTCAAGCACTCTTTTTGATTTTTGCACCCTCCTAAAAATTGATAATTGATACTGCTCATCTCATCATCCTAGTGACATCAATCTGGCTTCTGCTGTCATTGCTCAGTATTCGTGATTTATCCAAAGTTAAATGCCTTGAACTTCGTGCCTGCGGAAAGATGGACTTCCTGTTCCTAAGTCTTGGATTTTTATCTTATTGAAAGTTCTGTTTTTTTCCCCTTAGATATTTAAGTCGCATGACTTGGGGTCTATTTGTTTCCCTACTAGTCATCACTCATGTTCTCATTAACCCATCACACTTAGATGCATACATGCAAACCTCAAGAAAAATATTGTTTAGAGAAACTGCTGATGATAAGAAATGGATTGATAAAGACTATAGAGAATAATGAATATTAGCGCATATAAATGTACAAGAAAAAGATTAGATTTTCTTGGAATTCAGTGCTGGCATAAAAGATAGATGGTGGGGGGGAGGGCCTGGAGCGATAGCACCGCAGGTATGGTGTTTGCCTTGCATGCGGCCGACACGGGTTCAATTCCCAGCACCCCTATGGTCCCCTGAGCACCACCAGCAGTAGTTCCTGAGTTTAGAACCAGGAGCAACCCCTGAACATCACTGGGTGTGACCCAAAAAAGCAAAAAACGAAAGATAGAAGCAAACGTTTGAACCCCAGGAATTAAGGAACTTACAAGCAACATGATATTGTACATCAGCAGTGAAAAGAAGTTGAGGAAACCTGGAAATGGTAGTGATTGCCACATATTTCATTTTCTTCAGCACTTAGAATTGTGCAGAACTTAGAGTGCCCTATGCAGATATGGATCTGAAACTCTCATATTGCAAAATCAGCAAAGCTGCCTTTTACTGTGCTCTGTTTTCCTAAAGATATTAATAGGATAATGAGAATGTAGCTGAGAAAAATCTGAGAAAAACTCAGATTTTCAACTACCAGCTTTCTCCTATGTGATACCTTTGTAATAAATTCTGTCCCATCAGACACTCTATCACTGGGTGTGTCCAAATGCAGGCAGGATGGCTCACAACTGGGCTTATTAGGAGAGAGACTACAAACTCAAGAAGGGTTGAGTTAGTCAATGCTAAAAAATCTATTTTGGTTCCACCATGTTCTAAAGTATTTTCTATAATAAATTTGTATTTCAAGGCTGTCTATGGAAGTGATCAGCCTGATAACAAAAAAAAAAATAAAAACAGAACTGGAAAAATCCATGTTTCACACTGGAAGGAGAGGCCAGTTATTATATCCTTAGGTCTGGCAGATAAATTACAAGATAACTCAATTTGAATATCAGCTAAGAAAAATAACTTTTTAGCATAGCTATGTGCCCTGAAAATTTGGAGGGAAGATCACTAAATCTGGCAACTGAAAGTAGTTACATATTAAAAAGATTTTGCACATTTATTTTATAAAATTTTAATCACAATATTTTGAGACCCTTACAGTGATCCCAGTGGGGCTGAACTTAGACTCCTGGTTTACAGGACTAAAATAACATGGATGTTGTGCTAACTTGCTATTTTTATTGTTTACAAAACCTCAGCTATGAATTGTCCTCTGGTAACAGAAAGTGTTTGCCTTAGCCTGGAGAGCACATTTGCATATAGCATAGACTCAGAGAACATTCATACCAGTGAGTGGTGAGAACAGAAAGCTTTGAAGTGAAAGTGAAAAGGTAAAATAAAAATTGTAAGGAGACTATAAGCCATAGTTAATGGGACTGGGCTTGGAGAGAAACAGAGCTTGAGGGGAGCACAGTAGTAGTCAGAGACTTTAATACTCCACCCATCATTGGACAATTCAACCAGAAAGAAAATTTTTCATCCTGGGGCATATCATTGATGCACTGTGCTTTAATTAACACAAACTGAAGCACCAATATCATTTTTCCCTTCTCTCTTACCTTTTCCATTAGCTTAAGTGCTGTTTGGTCTTATGCTAGTATGGCTGCCCTGCTTTTAAAAAATTTTCCATTAGTCTGTATGATTGTTTTTCATCCTTTCACTGTGAGTCTACACTTATCTGGAAGTTTAACTGTGTCTCCTGTAACTAGCAAAATATTAGATTTTGTTTCCTAATACATCCAGTCATGTAATGACATTTTATTGGAAATTTATTGGAAATTCCAGTCAAATTACTTTAAAAAACATGATCAAAATGAAGGAATTGGTTATTGTGCTGGCTATGAGGAGTTCAATGGCTTATGCTGTGTGATTTTTTTTTAATGTATCAGGTCATTGAGTATCTATGACAGAGCTGGTTTAGATGTTATGAATGTGCTCAGCTGCCATTTGTCTGATAATGTTTTATCCCTCTTTCAATTTTAAATAATGACCTTGCTGGGTAGAAACTTCTTGCTTGGTGGTTCTTCTCATTCAATACATTATCTATTTCATTCCATTTTCCACCGACTTGTAGAGTTTTATTTGAGAAATGTAATGTCAGTCTTATGTTTTTCCCTTGTATTGGAGTTTTTGCTTCTCTCATTGTTGCTTGAAGGAGTCCATCCTATCTTAGTTTCTTTGCCTTTTTATTACAATACGTTTTCTTAAATTTTACATGGACTGGCATTCTCTGGGCCTCTTAGTTCTGCAATCTCACCCTTCTTATTGAAGAAATGCCGAAATAATTTTTTCAATCAGTCTTTCTTCCCTTCTCCAACTTTATTCTCCTCTGGAATTTTTATTATTCTAACAATGTTTATCTCAGTTGTCAATGATATATCTTATATTCTCTTTCTTTTTTATCATTCTTTTTTTTCTATTTCCTCTTCTTTCATGGTGGAGCTGTTACCACATCTTCAAGTTCATTGATTTAATTTTCAGCTTTATCTATCTTGCCACTGAGATGTGCTGATTCTATTTAATTTCTTCAAGTTTATTTGAATGAGCGCTTTTATTTTTCTGTCAGGATTTCATCCAATTTTTTTGCTTATAGGCCACAGCTGCTGATTCTCAGGGGGTTACTCCTGGCTCTGCTCTCAGAAATCACTCCTTGCAGTGCTTGGGGGACCATATGGGATTCCTGGGAATGAACATGGGTTGGCCATGTGTAAGCCAAGCACCTTACCTCCTGTACGATTATTACTCTGGCCCCTAATACTTTCATTCTGAGGCTATATTTATCTTTTGAGTTTTGATGTGTTTCCTGTAAGCAAAGAAATAGACATATTTTCTTTCCTGATCCATCTATACCTTTTGAAATAGAATAATTAAATCCACTGATATTCTGAGAGCCTATTTAGATAAGGGTCGTGTTGTCATTTGTTGTTGGGCAGGGGGAGGGGGTTGTCTTTGCAAATGGTTATTCATGAAAGCAATTTCTTAATTTTATAATTTCAAACCTCCACAATAAACAATAACTACTCAAAAATGATTTCATTTTATATTGCTTAGTGCAACGAAATGGCTAATGGAATTATCAAGAAATGCATCAGTAAAAGGAAGTTTGTGAAAATTATTATAGCTCACTAATGGGGTCATTAAATTCTTGTCTGAGGGTTTACTAAGCTGTTTGCTGCTAGTTGAGCCTTCTGTTATTGTGCATTGAGCATAGTTGGCATCTATGTTACTTTCCCATCAAATTTGGTGTACTTCTACTGGAATGTCAGTGTATTATAAACAACTTTGCAAATCATGGTGTTTAAATAAAGGGGAGAAAAGCTTTTAGAAAGTATCTCATATTTCCTATGGAAAAATTTAAAATTTAAGAATTTTAATACAACACACAGAAAGTACTCCTATCAGTGGCCATGCATCCTTTTGCTCCAGTTGGGATTATATAAGTAAAGAAAAAAATCTCTTATTTTTCCCTAAGCTTCACTAAACTTATGATAAGCATGTGTGTGTGCACATACACATACACACACACATTCACACACACATTCTGTGAGATTTCATTCTGTCATGCTTAACATTATTAACACTTTCTTATTTCACTCAATTGTGAAAGCCACAAAATTTCTATGATGGAATGAGTCAAAACACTTTTTTTAATTTTAAAGACATATTAAGTTTAAGATTCTTATGAGTGCATAAATTATACCTGCTTCAAAAATTTCCTTCTATCAGAATTACAAAGAGCATCATGAAATAATCAATTTTCAAAAGTATATAATTATTAGAATTACCTTCAGCTGTTTATAAAACTAAAATCAGGATTACCCAGAGTAGTCAGTCTTAAGAAAAGCTTCCTGATGCTGAAAGCAGTAGCTTATCAGCTGGACGAATAATCTTTGGGGATAACTTCAATCTAGGGCTAACTATGATAGTAGAAACATCGTTTTTCAAGCAAACCATTTTATGTGCTCTCCTAGCTTCAGGGATCTCAGCCACCTTT